GGATGAACCTCTTCGATAGGAAGGTTCACATTTTTATTTATGGAACACTGAAGTCCGTTTTGTCCCGAAATTGCCTGACATATCGTACCTGTAGGAACTGAAAATGGCCTGCTCAGTCCATCGTTTCAAAGAGGCAGTCACGATAAACTGCCCTGCTCAGGGACATCAGGCAGAGCGACTCACTTGAATGTAATGATTGTGTGTTGGAATAAGGAAATATAATGGATGTTGTACTTTAATAAAGGCCTGTGTAGGTTGGTTTGTTGGGCCAAAACCGGTCTATAAACTGCGGAAGTTTGGTCTGGATCGTACATACTGCTTCGAGCCCTTTGACAAATGTATAGCTTTGACCAAGGCGTTGAGCGACTCTGGTCCATTTTGTATGGTGCGTGCACCATGTTACGGCGATCTGGCCCAGACTTAGGCTGCACCCGAATCTCTTGTCTAGAGCTAGGTCTAGGTCTTCGCACCATTGGAAATGCGTGGAGACGCGTAGACGATAGGCCTAGCCGTAGCTCTGGAAGGCCGTTTTGGACATGGCCTTAATCATTGCCTCCGTGCATACCTTTTGCACGGGTTTTGTGCCAAGAATCGCTACGCACTCTCACTTGAATGTACATGCCCCGAGGCGCCCTTCCGTGTACCTTTCTTTGGGTGCGTTGCGTACACGATGCGTTTATGCAGAAACGATTTTGACGGATACGCAACGCTTGGTGCAAGTGTTAACGCGCAGTGGAAAGGCGCCTTTAACGGGCAACACCTGACACGTAAACGCACACTTGCATGCACCACGTCACTAACACGTTACATACCGAGTGTGGACATTCCTTTGTTTTCGTGCATTTAAGAGAACTCGGTGAAAATACTCATTTTTCTTAAACTGAGACCACGATTTTCAGCCGGATTTTTGTAAAATGTTTCCTTGACTGGTCCTCTTCCTTTTACGACAGACAGCCCTGCCTCTAAACTTCTTTCCACGGAAAGGGAAACGCCCCGTGGACATGGGCAAGTCCACAGAACGTCTTCCCTTCCTGCATCGCGTGGATATCTTATATTTGCAAGGCCACACTAGGTATAATGTGAGCACAGTGTTACGCAGTCGTGCACGTTGTGTCTTAATGCATCTCTTGCCCGTACGGGGGTTGGTGCGTCGTGATAGTACATGGTGGCTTGTTTGCCTTGGGACGCATGCGTGAGGTCCGATAATCTGCCTTCGACAAAAAAGCGCCGAGAGCCCAGTTAACATTACTCTTTGACACGATGTCTGGCACGCATTTTTTCGCACCCTGGCGTTGCTTTACTGACTGAGTTTGCCCCTAGAGGCACTTTGTATGTGACGCCTCACCCGACCAGCGTGGGCATCAGTGACACGACAGAAGAGTGAGTTCCACCTGCGCCAATCTTTGGAAAATGTTCATAGATTCTGGCGCCACCCTCGGCAACACCTCTGCCCGCTTTCCTCCTCCGCAAATACATTCCTGGGTTTCATATTTCGGAAAGCACACACGGCCCTATTTATAAAGTATCCATATGCATTTCCGGCACCTCTGGGGTTGTGGTTTTAAAACGTATTTCGTGCGCCCCTCATATTTAGGAAGAAGGGTGTATGAAAGGGGGGGTTGAAAAAGGAAGCGATTTAATCTTGATGCATATCTTGTAGCGTGTCTTGTCACCTGACTGACAGGCTTCGTGCACTCTTGATTGAGCTCGGCTAATCGACAGATCATGCGACCTGCGAAACATCAACACGACGGCCTCACAAGTATCTGATGAGGGTTTTTTAAAAAAAAGGGGGGGTGAAGTAAAATCTTACAAGCATACAGATCCTTGCAAATATCGGTCCAGCATGACGAGCATGCTCCCACAGCAGGGAAGATAGATTGGGGCGTTGCCTGGTAACGCATCCGATGATGGATGACTGTCTGTTTGCACAGAGAAGGCTAACAGTTTCGTCAGATGTGAAATGGCCGTTACACGCTCAAATGGGCACATGAATCAGTGTCTTCGCGCATACTCCTGATATTAAAAATAGCTTACGAGGCGATTCCAAAGTCTTCAATTTTCAGAATCGCAAACACGCTTGTGTGACTTTTGGTCGTCGAGTCGTTTTTTTCTCGTAATTGCTCTCTAAGGCTGTAAAAGAGTGTCTGTGGTGGTTGAAGTCTCGAATAACCCTTTCCCGCGTCTTTCCAAAAGTGGGATTTCCTGCGGTTGTTAGCGCTTTAAATGCATGAAACTATCCATTTTATTTCATGAAACATGAAAATAAAAGTATTGGTGGACACGTTTTGTTTGCGTGCAACGACAAGGCGAGAGATACGTCATAGGTTGCTAAATAACCACCATTCAATTTCAATAGGCAAGCATTTATCTTCCGCAAATTAATGCAAAGTGATTTCAACTTGATCCCTAATTCGAGCCAGTTTGAGCAATTTATTTTATCAAGAAAAAGTGGGTTGCGTTAAGGATTTGATTAAGTATGCAAAGCTAGCAATACGGGCGAATCACAATAGTGCACCTCCAAGAGTTTACAACGCGTTGGCCAAATCTGTCGACCCTTGTCAAGCGCGCGTTGGGTCGACAGATTTCGCACGTTGTGATTGTAAACTCTTGGAGGCGCACTGTTGTGAATCGCGTTTATTCTGTACTCATAGAAGAGACTATGGAGAAACAACTACATCGTCACTATTTTCAAAAAAAAGTTCTTGAACCACGGATCAAAAGAGAAACAGTTTCGGGACAAAGATCGCGTTCCAGAAACATCATTCTCGCTCAGACGAGAGCGGGAAATTTTACCCGATAAAAGCAACAGGGGAGTGCTGCGAGATGGAATAATAAACTGTTCTCCGACTGTGAATACTGATCGATTCATAATTGCATAGCAATAGGCAACGGACGATGACAGAAAAAAATTGACAACTTATGAAAAGAAATTAGCGGGAAAAGTAATTCTCCCTGACAACTCACGAATGCTGAATGGAAGTTTCCCAGCCCGTCGCGATTGGTTTTGCGCTGAGCTTGCTTTGCGGTCAGCGTATATAATAGGAAATTGCGCAGAAAGACGAGACGGGAGCCAACCAGCTTTGATTGCAAAGTAGCGAAGTGCTTGTCGAGGGCTGCTCGGCCACTTCCGTTGCACTATAATGTTGCGAAATGTTGTCATGGGCGAGCGGTAATGAAAAACCGGGGCCATCCATCAAAGTGAACCAACATTTTTTTCCCAGAGGAAATGTCAGCAGGGTGATGTACCTTGCGCAGGAGGAGCGGGCGGCAGTCAATCACGAAGATCTATCTCAGGGCAAGGTGAGCACAATCTCTGCCTCTTAAGGAAAACAGAGTGAGAAAAGCAGTCCTACCGAACGGTAACATGCTGCTGGAGTCACGTGTAATTGAAGACAGGATGCACACCGTAACTACTCAGAACTTTTGTTATTGTTATTTTTTTACACAGCGCTCGACACAGACAACGAAACCCTGCCATTCTGATTCAGAGTATGCACCAATCAATACCTTCCTTAACATTATCTGACCCTGGAAAGGCTTATTGTAAAAAATACCTCAACGGTGTGTTAATTTGAGTAATTAATTGGAACAAACTACGGGCAGATTGTACGTAGCGACTATACCTCATCTTTTGACTAAAGCTGGAAAATCCCATTATGTTCAGCGAAAGTTGCTCACTTTTGATATAAAGTATCTTGATTTCGAAGTTGTGAACAATTAAAACCATTTAATGAATGTACCGTTCTCTTTATGACATCAAAATCATACGGAGAGACTCATTGAATTATCTACACACTGTTATTGCAGGTATGTCAAATGTTAGAAGAACATTTTGCAGCAAACATTTTCGAGTTCTTTGGACAGTATTTCTCAGCGATTTTAGTTGACCACGAGACACACACCTTATTTTCATCTGAATGCGTACAAACCAGCCAAATATATTTTCTACGGCTAACTGTTGATCACTGCGGCTCGCTAATGGCAACAAGAGACCATAGATATGCAACGCCCTCAGGGCGGAAATGGCGCGAAAGTTTCTGCCACACCTCTTTCTTTATCATCGTGGACGAAGCACTTGTGTAACAGAGATGCACAAGACAGTGCTAAGACATCTCAATTAAGTAAAAAAAAAAGAAGAAGATCAAATTAAATCAAACCATACACTCAGTCCATAGTCCTCGGCTCAATATTCTTCTGGCTGGAGCAACTTGCACCGAAATTATATACTAATTTGAGCCAACAGATAATTATGAGTAATTTATTTCCTAAATCAGACTTCGTCTTTTGTATCGGCACCATAAATTCACGACAAAGTAATACACATACGATGTGCCGCGTGACCTTTGTGCCAAGCGGTAAACGCACATAGCGCCAAGCAAACTACCTGGCCTTAATGCGTCCGGCGCTACCCATCCATCGGCACACACCACACTGACAATAATTACTTAGTTATATGGTATTATACACGAATAAACAAATGTACAAATAAAATAAACAAAACAAATGATCGTATTTAGCTTTCTTTTGGTTAGCATGACAATCAGATAGAGTTTGAGCTGGTAACCTTTGTTTATTAAAGAGCAACTCTAAGGAAAACATGTTTTCTCTGATTTTTATCTGTTCAAATAAATTGGAAACATCCAAATCGAACGCACTGTCGTTTGTTTTCAGAGCTCAACTATAACAAGTTAAAAAGGGCTTTTTTCCTGTTCATACCAAGATATGCATTCTGAAATGCTGAATGTAGATTGCCTCAATCTGAGAAAACAGAGAAACCGAAGGGAACCCTCACCCTGTGTTCATAGTGGATAAACCCTTGGCCATTGTTTGGCTTGCACAAGAGAATCATCCACTACAAACACAAGGTGAGGGTCCCCCTCGTTTTATATGTTTTCTCAGAATGACGCAATCTACATTCAGAATTCGCATCTTGGCATGAACATAAAAAAGCCCTCTTTAGCTTGTTATAGTTGAACTCTGGAGACAAATGACACTGCATTCGATTTCTATGCTTCCCTGTTTATTTGAACAGATAAATTCAGAAAAAAAAACATGTTTTCCTTAAAGTTGCTCTTTAAGCAAAGTTTCCCCGCTTAAGCAAATTTTGTGCTTAAGCTGCAGCTCTATGAAATTAGCCCTCGCGAACTTACGACTCTTGTGAGCATTGGGCACGTGGTTAATTCGGGCTGCAACTTCCAATGTGCCAGCTTCAGTCAGATGATTGTCAGATGAAGCTGCTGAACGATTGTAGAAGGTTTAAAATGCAACACTTCCACACTTCTTCTGAGTGATTTCCTTGGTTGTCGATTCGTCATGCTCAGGCGTGCCACTAAAAAAAAAAATCTGCCCTGCGTTTGGTGAGCTATGCCTCGCGCTGGTAATGCCAGGCGGACTTGCAAGCTCATGCCAGGGACTTTTTAAACCGCCGCTAGCCACGGGGAACCAATTACCGAAATACATGTTCAGCCCGAATAGCTAGAGCACAATTTTCAACCGCTTTTTTCATTCCGACTACCCCGGGGCTTTGCCTTGCTGTGTTTCTTGCTCCGTGCACCCTCCTCCATCATAGTGAAGGGGAAGAGAGACTATTCACGGTGTGATCCCCTGCGGTCGGGGAAGGGTGGAAAGGGGGGGGGGAGTACAATTTGCGATCGAAAATGGAGACGGTAGCAGAACAACACATTCAGAAAGGTCGGCTGATAAACTGTCTTTCTCGACAAAATTCATGAACAAGAGCACAAAGATGCACCAAATCTGTCAAAATTTACCCAACCACTGACTTGCTGGCAGTACAAAACCAAAAAATAATTCACAGAGTGTTTAAAAATCTCATGCTGGTATCAACGTAGGCTTACTAAGTAACAAATACTACCGCTAAATATTCGGCAAAAAACACCTCCAAGGTTTCACACTAATGGAACAGATGCGCATTGTCTTTCATTCCCGAGACTTCATCATCACACCCCCTGGCTATTTTTTTATTACAATATTGCAAAACATATGGAAATAGAAATGAAATTTCCAAACAAACGGACCTCGTATCGGCAGAGAAACCTTGATATGGCCTGCCTGTCGATGCAAGCCGATTCTTACCGATACCTACCGATGTTTGCCGATGCTTGTCGACGTTTCACCGATATGTGTCGATGTATGCCGACGGGCTAGTGGAGGGCAGATCGGACCGACGAAAACTGAGACTCCTTGGTGAAGATGGGCTTGCCGGGCCGGTACTGCCTGGCGCCATACATCTTGACGACGGAGCAGGCCACAAAGGCGACGACCACCAGGACGATGAGAACGATGAGGACGATCCAAGCCACGACCTTGTGGAGGCGGCGGCTAGTCGGAGCCCGGTCGCTGGGTTTCGGCGTAGATCGGGCCGGGACTGACCGAAGAGGGGAAAAAAGAACAGAACGAAAATTTTATTTGTAGACCTCCACCAGTATAGGTCCACGGAGGGCGCCATCCACATCTTGACCTCAGAGCCGCGTGTAGAGAGAATTGCAACGTGAATGTCACCATTGTTGGAAACAAACTGACAGGTGTATGCGCCAGTGCACGTGGACAGTTGGTATTCAATAGCCATGTATTATGCTCTGTTATACATAGAATGAACAGCCATTTGTTTCCAAACACTGAAGCTGGCGTGTCTCTCTCTATTCTTAGTGAAATTCGATAGCCAGAATTAGAAGCCATTACTGCGGTGGTGCAACGCTCGTGGGCCGGTGGCACAACGCTCGTGGATAGGTGACACAACGCTCGTGGGCAGGTGGCACAACGCTCGTGGACAGGTGGCACAACGCTCGTGGACACGTGGTACGCGCGCGTTACATGCCTCTTCCGCCAATAGGGTGTCGTGATGTGCTAAATAAACGCGCGCGTCAAGCTGAAGAATATGCACGTGAATGCGGTGCCACCACAGTCATGACGTCTAATCGGTCTATATCATAGAGCTATAGCTCTGTCGTCTATACACAGCTCTGCTTTCCTCTCAGAGAAATTAGACGCCATGTTTAGTTCAAAAACTCCGCGGCGAAAGCACATTGAGCACCGAATTTTTATTCAAGTACAAGAGACTGTAAAATTATAATCCGTCCGTTTCCCATTCTCCTATAGATTACTGCAACCCCCCCCCCGCGCAATAATGACCATTCTGGAAACAAAATGGTATCCTGAACGACCTCATGTCGCAACCCTCTCTCTTTCTATTGACGGCTCACATGCATAGCGTGCCCCTTGCCATTTTATTTATGGACACCATCTCTAGCGACAGGACACCACAGTACGTATCAATCGCAATCGCCTGACTCAATTTGCCTTTTCTCGATCATCAACTGAACCCTCTACCTTCTGCCACCGCTTCCTCGCAAACCTTCCCTTCCCCGTAGCAGTCCCGGTCGTCAGTCATAGCGCCCTCGCACGGCAGGCCGTCGTCACCAGCCGGCGGAGGGCTGTCACAAAGCCGGTAGCGCGTCTGTTTTCCTGGGCCGCACACTGCCGAACACTCGGTCCAGTCTGACCAGCCAGACCACTGACCGTCTACACTAGGGGTTTCTGGGGAGAAAGGAAGCTATATGTTAATTACGGGTACAGAGATTCAAGAGCAAGATCCGCCAAGTTCGAGAAATTTATAGTTTTCCCTACAATCCTGGCCAAATCTCGTTGGGCCCCCACCCCTGGCCCCCGCTCAATGTTGGGTTTCAGTGCGTGTTCTGCACTCCATGCATGATGACAACATTGACTCGCGGAGTGAGGGGCCTGGAAAGGTATGGCTATGTGACACGTGTCCCAACAATTTGGCCAAGAATGTAGACCAAGCTCACCTGAACAATATCGATGGATGGTTGGTCTCTCTACAGTCGACCATTTCAGAGCAGTATACAGAGAAAGTATCGCCAACTTCAGACTTAGGAACCAAAATGGCCGTTCATTATGTGTGCAGTACCGCACGCAGTTATTGTGTGTGTCAGTTGTCCACGTGCACTGACACACAATCGACCATTTTCGTTCCAACAATTGAAACGCTTCTGTCGCAACTCTCTCTGAAACAGCTCTGGACCATTTTAAACCAGTCCAAGGGATATGATCACATGGCTGGTTATCACTACCCTTCACCAAATACAGCTGGGTATCACAGGAGCATTAATCTTTCTCATATTGTGTCGAGTGCGCAGAGAAACCTCCCCACTCGCCATCAGCCTCTTAGTAAGGTGCTCGTATCGACGTGTTTAATACGTGGAATGGAATGGTATGGAATACAAGCCGCAAATTACTGACTGTTTTGAACGCCTGGTGGCAGCAGAGAACATCCTGAGCACTGCATAGTCATCTGTTGTTCAACTAGGAAAGAACAACTGGAAATGTTTCTTGAGATCGCCCGTCAAATCGACATAGAGATGGGAAAGACGTGCCAGTTTGTGCAGTACCAAAACGCCATACATAGTTAAGTACACTGTACTGTGTAAAAACACTTAGCACAACAACTTCACTATTTATACGGGACTCTTTGTAATGTACGCGTACAATGACCATACGCTTAGTTCGTGCACAGGCATGAATCGATGACATACCTGGGCACCGCCGTGTCTCGCAAGCCATTGTCTCCGCCCGGCTGCCTTCACAGCCGCTGGCAGGGATGAACAGGCCCTCGATGAAGAGTTGACATTCCCTGGTCCTGGACTGCTCGCCCAGACCGCATGTTGCAGAGCAGTCACCCCAGGCAGACCACTCCGTCCACCGGTCCACAGGAGAGTAGGGAGTCGTAGGCAATGGTGTTTCTAAATTTATAGTTTGGAGTCGTACAAGGTGTACAAAAAGCGATCCAAAACAATGCTGCATGAAGTTTAAAAAAGATTTTTCTTGGTGCACTGAGTGGAGGTGCATTTTGTATTTAGTTGAAGTAATAATGACTCGTGGATCAAGACAAGGAGCTGTAGAGCGCTCCTGAAACTTTTTGATGTTCACAAGAAAAAACTTTGAATCGTCAA